TAAAATCTGAGACCCAGACCAAATGTTGCTTTTCGAGTCTGTTAAGTACATCCTGCAACGACTGGCGAGTGCAATTTGTATAGCACGAGCAGCGAAAAATCAACTCAAAGCGACTGGCGTCCCGCACCAGAAACATACAATATTCAAGAGGGAGGGGAAGAGCTGTGGACGGGCTTGCGAGTTGTGGTCGCCTATTGCGTTGGATGGAAGTCCAACTGAACTGTATTGGACAATCCTGTTCAGCAGTGTGTTTTTCTTTCAGTGAATCATCTGCTATATGAAAAATTGTGCGCGATGCATTCGGGGGGGGGGACAGATAATTGGTGGATCATATAGGATTTTCCCCTTAGTTCCTTGTTGACAATCTCTTACACAATGTAATTTGAGGATCTGATGTAGAAACCTGTACTGTAATACTTCTAACCTTTTGGTATTTGGGGCTTCAGAAGGACAGGCTTCTCGTCCAAGAATGATTAACAGTTGGATAGTTACATGCTAAACACGAATTGTTCAGCACAGGTTGATTTCTTTTCCCTTCTATGTATAAATGTATATATAGTCTCTGCCGTCCCTGTAAAAAAGGCTTTTTTGATTTATCTACTCCTAGCATTACTTCCGCTTCTTTTGTCTTTCGCGGATTATTCGCCATAGACGCTAGCTTTTGTTCCACTAGTTAGATTTCGATATCTAAGAAGCTTCGCTATTTTATCGAGCATCTTTTTGAATGACCGGGAGAAACGAACGAGTAAGTAATAAGGCCAAAACAGCTAAGTAACAGTATACTGTTGATCAGAGTGATCAAAATGTGCTTTTATGATGAAGATTTCTCTCAGTTCTTCGGCGTGAATACCAGACAGAACGGGCCCCAATCAGATGGATTTTAGTTAGCTCGTTATATGAAATCAATCAGGTTGTGTCTCTGGCTAATATGTGTAGGCGGACAATTCTAATAAACTATAGAGAAGCGTTTTTAAATCTTCTCCGGCAGCTTTCCGATTTTTGTGTTGTTCAATTGTTGTCGGGATTTCAGTTACCCTCAGAGTATGGTTGCATACTTTCTATGGCTCTGAATTGTCTGAGGCTGGCTGGTTCATCGAATGGTCTGAGGATGGGTTAAGAAATTGATCAGCATACTCCCATCGTCATTAGGTATTCCTATTTTGTTCTGATATGAAAACACTGGCTCCATTGAGCACAAGAATTTCCATTTAAAATGTCTACTTGCTGAGCTTTGAACTAGGTTGAACATTTTGCAGTACCTATCCTTATTCCATTTATCAAGTGCATAGTTTCGGTATCTATTGCGATCATCCATCGGTGGAGTGTAAACGGTTCTGTGGCAGTAATCGGCGTTCACTACTGCTTGAAAGCGGAACATCATTCGCTTTGGCTAACAGATGTGGTTTGCCCTGGAAGATATAGTCTTTTCGTTCACCTAAGTCCCTTCCAAGTAATGTTTGCAACAGTTGACTTCATCTTTGTCTAATGGTTTTCAGTAGAAATTCTGTGTTAATTTGTTGGGTACGGTGGTTTGATGATTGTGTATAAACTGAACATTTTTGTTTCTTTACATGATCGATTGTCTTTGTATAACTACGGTGAGCATTGTAATTCTGATTCGAATATTCTGGTGGTTGGAGCTCCACTGCGATTCGAATTTCAGTACAAAGTACAGATTATCACAGGTGGTCACACGAGCTCAGATTGCTCTCGGCATCGATTAGAGTCTCTTTGTTTTCTATGACCCTGGAAGGTATTTGGTTTAATGCGGAGACATTAGAACAAACAGAGAGAGCATCACACTGTTTAAAAGCAGATTGATTTTCTTGCCCTAGCTTCATGGTAGGCTCCGCAATTCTCCACAGAAGAAGCTCAAAGGAACTACAGTAGTTGATTTGCTGTGCAACTGGCGTTGGAATTCCAAAGTAGTGTGTGCATCCAAAAATTTTACAAACGTGTTTCAGATGACCGTTCTATCAACTTTAGCAAAATTGATGGAACAACCCCCTTTCCAGTTCCCAAGGATGGTTTTTCCGAGGATTTATTATGGAAAACTTGATCCGGTTCACTGACGAAGGTGTTCTAGTCCCCTATGATGAAAAAAATGTCGCATCTCGTAACATGGTTTAGTAGCTCCTGCACAATTTATCTTTGGTCCCGTATTCTGCTGTATTAGTTGATTACAATTTTGAACCTCGCCAAAGGGAGCTGTTTGGAACTGCACTGGCAAGAAAAATACTATAGCATAGTGAGATATGTTGATTAGAACGAGTGACACACAATGTGGAAATCAGTGTTGTCTACCAAAAATATTTTGGTGGACCCGGTAAGTCGTAGGCATTAGTTTGATCCAATCAAGTAGTAGGTTCTTTGTGCTATTCGTGTCACCTCTGTTCAGTGATGTTCCGGTTTCTGAAGTCCAAAACATTCTCCAAATTCTGAATATGTTAGTTGCATCGCCTTTTTACAATAAAGAATCCTAGCTCAATGATCGGACATTTCGACCTCTGTAGCTTGACAAATACGTACAGTTCCGTTTGTCTCCATGAAGACGTGCGATAGTTGGATATTAAGCTCGGTTCCTTGGACAGGTAAACCGTTGCATTACCCGGTTTCCCATTCCGGAATAAAAGATAGTAGTGTATTACTCTATCCAAACTTTCTGTTTGATGATAAGCCGCTAGTACTTGCACAACTACGGTTAACCCACAAGGCACCAAGTTCATTCCACATGAGTTGGCGGTTTTCGAGTGGTTCTTTCAAATCTTCCTACAAACGAAGTTGATTGATTCATTGGTGGATCGCGGGCATAATGTTCCAGATCGTTCCGATGACTACTGCAATGGTTCACGATAGATAAAGTCAGATTGAGTGTGACTTGGCTATTCTAAACTCATTTGGTTCACAAATGTCCCCTTAAATGTGCTTACTTTCTCATAGAGGGTGGAATTGAAACCAAGCAAATCTATCCTTACGACCAACTGTTCAGTGCACTGTCAAAGAGAGTTCTCCCCGACTGTTCTCGCCTACAAATGAAGGATCTTGATGTCTGATCGTAAGCCCCTTTTGGAGTTTTCGTCAACTCAGTGCCGCTTTCCCTCAGGCTACATCTGATTTTGGTGAGCCGCAGCCTCACCTTATGTACGACGAGATCAAATCTTTATTCTTATTGTTTTTGCCCCAACAATCTCAGAGATATCAATTGGATTGCACAGATCGAAGGTAAAGGCCCTCATTCGTATATTAGCAGTCTTCTATAAGGTCTGCTAATTAATTGATTGCACACAGACGTCCAGTAAATTTATTTCATCACAGGATCGTGACTGTGAATATGGTTATTGATGTGACTCACTTTTGACCATTTTTGATTCTTGTGTGGAAACAAACATCGAATAAATATAATTACAGCTTTTTTCGAGGATGGAAGATATTTTAGTAAAAACAAAGAAAAGAACCCTTTGGGATTTTTCGGGATACTACAGCCCTGATGGCTTCGTTGGATTCATTGATTGTAAAAATTGGGGTGGCTGATCCAAGCGGATTAAAAACCTGGCCATTCTGTCTAACCTACTTTCTCCCTTTTCTCCCGATACGCTTTTAATACACGATTATTGTGAACAGCCCGATAACGCGTCTGATACTCTTCGGATCCGGTTTTGAGTAAGGCAAACGCTGTACTCGAAAATTAGATAAACACCAATTATTATTAAGTTCCACGAGCCGTTCTCAATAGCCCTCTTTTCACAACTTGAGGGCAACTTTTGCATCCATGGTCCATACATAGGGGTTTTATGAAAAACGTTATCCGCCACTTTTGTCTGGGGCTATCGCTATTTCGATACATTTCGCTCATCGAACGACAAACAGTATTAATCAGTTGTCCTATCAATTATCCACACTAACTACTCACAAGCAACTGTGAGTCAAAAGCAAAAATTAATCAAGCCTAGTAGTTATGTGACAAATCAGCCCGTCACTTGCATGGAAGTCCAGGCTTGGTGGGAATCTTTCGATTGGAGTTACCAAAGTGTAATCCGTGTCTCCCTTCTCTGCGGTCGGGACAAAGGAACTGACCATCACTGAAGACCACACCTGAAGAAAAGTGCATTGGCAATTTGGTTCAGCCATGACATAAGCTGGTTGGCACAGTGGTAGCGCACACGCATTCCATGCGATTGGTCCGGAGTTCAAATCCCGGACGGGAAGGTGGATATGCACTATTGATGAGCTATAAAAGGAGCGAAACTCTAGTCTAGTGTTCACATTGTATGGTTGAAGGTGAAGTCCAAAGGATAGTCAATCCAAATCAATGAATATCTTAATCAAGTAAATTTCAGTGCGGTACAACAGGACGGGCAAGCCAGTTTCGGGAATGTATTACGGATGTGAAAATGGTCAGATTCCCTTAGAATGGTATTTGAAAAAAACTGGAAAGTTGGTTCCCGTAGGTTCCCGGCTGAATGACGTCATTCAATTTGTCTGCTAAGCTTGCAGTTTTCTAATGTTTCGTCGCCAACTGAGTTTACATAATAAGGGTTCCTCCTATGGTAGTAGTTATCTACCATTAGAAGTGTCCCGTTGTTTTCTGTTTAAACGAATCTGGTCTCCACGTCCATGACTTTGGGTGGCAATCTTTGATCCCAATATGTAGAGGGTCCTAAAATTTCCTTTCCGTGGAAACCCTTGTGTATGAATAAAACAAATGATAAGCAAAGTAAAAATCCGAATTGACCTGTATTACTTATTTCACATGTTTCTATGTACCCATGTCAGATATTTGTCGTTCCATCCATTTGGTTTTCACCTGTCGACATAAAAGATCCCAAACGTTTCACTACAAAATGTTTCATTCCAGTTATAATCAACGTTTTGGAATACTTTTAAAGATATTGATAATGTTAACCTGTTACTGAATAACAAATGTTTAAACATTTATCGAGTGCACAAGGTTGTACGCGCTGATTATACGTTTCATGGTCAAACGGGGAACAGTCAAACGATTAGTAATCCATATAATTGATTGGATAATTCCATGTAGATTGAGGGATAGGTCGATCAAAATACGAGTAGTAGCCATGGTTCCATCGATTTCGTGGGAATGCTGTTGTTCGATAATCCGATTTCATCCACTGTCCGGGATTGGTGATTTTTCGACGTCCACCTCGTCTTCTACAGCCGCATGGACAACTGGGTGCCTCTTCGTTCATCATGTCCGTCATGAGGCTTAACATTAACAATCTGGGGAGTGTTGATACGCTTGATGGTGGATATCCCATCGACATTGACATCTGCGGGAACATTGACATCGGAGGTCTCATTGACATCGACATTGGCGACGGCATAAACGATGACATTGGCGATGACATTGGTGGAGCCATCGGTGGTGGTGGTGGTGGTGGGGGTGGTGGGGATGATGATGGTCGACTGAATATACCACCAACAACATTTTTCACAGTATTGAATACACCTTTACCCACATTGGCTATGGTGTTGCCGATGTTTTTGAAGAATGAAAGGAAGCTTCGTTTTGCAATATCAACTTCTGCCGGATCGCTTTCCGCCTTGTTCACAGGGAGTTCGAACTGTGGTGCAAAATCACTTTCAGCCAAGCATGTCGTGTATAAATACGCGGTTTCGATAAGGTGCAACAGGAACACTGAACTGATATACCGAAACATGAAGAAGGAATAGGTGTGTTGTGTAGGTCAGTCAGCCGGGGAATACGTTTACAGAATCGCTACATGCGAGCAGCAGTTTCCATCGCTCCAGGCGCAGTCGTAATGCTCATCTTCTAGAATAGCAATCAATTAATATGTTTGCATTTATGCACCAACCGTGTTAATCTAACCCCATTCAAGTAGTAGTGAAATGAATGATGCGCGATTTGAAACACACACCATAACAACCAATAATTTTTCAGCTTCAGTTGAAAGAAATATATAACAGACTGATGCTAACCCTAGGCGTGCATCTTCAAGTGAATTTAGTTTGACTGGTTCACAGGAGTTGCTCTATAACTATTCTGTTGGTAGTAATACCTATTAATCAAATAGTAATGATGAATAGCTCTTAATCTTCATGTTGGGACCTTCAAACAGTTGTCTCATTAATTTCAGCTACTCACATATTTTGAGGATTGTTCTATACTGGGAACTGACAATCGAGTGTAATTTCGGTGAATGGTACGGCGTTTCAGTGATGTATTTTTCAAATACGTGTTCTAATTTGATCCAAAAACGGTGTAACTGAATGCCTATCACACGAGTGATCCAATGATGAAATGATTCAACTGTTGATGATGATGATGATGACAGAGCAAGTTTCCACAATCTGAATCTGGCTGATAAAATTTGCTCATTCATGGGTGCGAACTAGGACCAATCAGTTAGACCGTTGGCGTAATTCAGGTATTGCGCCAATACCACCTTTCACTTCGGTTCAATACACATAACTTCTCGCATAAGTATCGTTTCAAAGGGGAAATGCGTGGTGTATATGGCAAATGAAGCGTGAACTAAAAATCTAGGAAGCACTGGACAGCTGCTTTGACCTGGTTGGGTTTTATCAACAGTGCGAACCCATCGACCCAACTGTATCGAACCCGGGACCTCGGTCACCGGGCAGCTGATCAGACCGCTTTTCATTTTCCATTTACGCCATATGGTGCAACCCATCTTTGCGAGCTTGTTGCGGTTCACAGACCTCACTCGTCTGAGCACTAGCCTCCCGGGTTATGACTCGGTTCGAAACGATCACAATCATGATGTTTGTTGCAAAACACAATTCAAGGATGACTTGACACGTGCGTCGCTTTTTCTTCCGCGTGCCGTTCCGACTGGTTTGGCTCAATCGTGACGCGAGATACGTTGATCGACAGCTCCGACATTGTGGCATTCGGTGGATATCTTTTTGGCTAGCTGCGGATTGTCTGACGGGCTGTAACTGTCGATTCGTTCGTTTCGGGTAGTAATCAACATTGTCTCGCGAAGTACTTCCAACCGCTAAGTCTGCGCGTCTGGTTGGATGGGCTCCATTCTTGATTCGTTCGCTAGCCGGAGCTCTCTTGGTACCACCTTTTATGACAGCCTTTTAATTGGCCACCTTTTCAGTTTGTCAAATCATTATTGTGTCCAATAAAAGGAAGTTAAAATGAAAAGAAATATTAAAAAGATCCCTATACTNGCACGGAAAAGTCGATTCAGTCGAATCAGAAACTGAACTACAAAGACTGGGTATTGGAAACTGTGACGCGTTTGTGCTCATATCGCTCTGGTAAATGAGAAGAAAACATTACAATTGTATCCAGTGGGAGTCAAAATTAAAGAATATGCAAACTTTTCTCGTTTGATGATTTAACGTTACGGAA